TATTCTCTGCTTTCAGTCAAGATCCATCTGGCATCAGCAGCGATAACCTTAGTTCATGTCCTCTTCTTAATCTCTCTTGAATTTCTGGCAGTTACCTGCGGATGTTCTGCTACAAATTTTAACTTGTGTGTGATGCTAATAATGACGCTCAAATATTTTTTGTGTTCTTTTAGGCCACCTTTAAAAAAAAAAAAAACCGGACACTAATCTAGATCTCTTCCTGTCAGTGGTCCAGGAAGCTATCTTCCAAATGTCTCAGTATAGCCAAGTGAACCCTCCAATATTAGATTCATTTATTGAAACATCTCACTTGGTATTCTATTACTTCCTGGAGTCTGGTTTTTGGCCTTCAATGCAGCTTGAACTTCTTCCTTCAGTATCATTAGTTCTTAACTGCATGATATTTTGTGAAATGATTGAATGGTAACCAATTTTTTTTTTGGTACAGTGCATTCCTTCCACCTTTTTTGATAATTCCAGCTTGGTTCAATATTTTCCCAATCTTTATTCTTTAGTATTGCAACTCAAAACTTGATGTTTGATTTTTTTTCTTTAGTTCTTTCAGCCTGAGAAATGATGGACATGTTCTTCCCATTTGTTTTTTTTAACTCTAGATTTTTGCACATTCCTTTATAGTACTTTGCTTATCTTCTGGTGAGTTCTTTCACTTCATCATTACTTCCATTGGCTTTAGCTTCTCTATGATCAAAAGCAACTTTCAGAATGCATTCTGGCTTCCATTTTGGTCTTTTGTTTCTTTCCTGTCTTTTTAATGGCCTTTTGCTTTATTTATGTACGATGCTTTTGATGTCATCCCATAATGCCTTTGTTCATGCACTGAGCACTAATCTCCCGTGATTATTGTTCAATGCATGAATTCTGTTCTTGAAATGGTCTGTAATTTCAGGTGGGATTTACTCAAGGTCAAAAATAGCTTGTTTTCATTTTACTTGAATTGGAGCAGTTGACGGTATGTTCTGAAGTTGTCCTCTGGTCTTCTTTTGACTGCTGATCTTCAGCTTTTCCATTGTCTCTTTTTACAGATGCAGTCTAATTTCTGTGCATTCCAACCAGGGAGTTGTCTGTGTGTAGTTGCCCTTATGTTGTTGAAAAAGGTATTTGCAATGAATAGGTTGTTTGTCTTACAAAATTTTGTCATGTGATTCCTCACATCTTTTCTATTATCAAGACCATGTTTGCCCAACTATTGATTCTTCTTGTTTCCAACTTTTATTTTCAAATCACCAATAATTATCAGTACATCCTAATTGTACATTTGATCAAATTTAAACTGCAAAAATTGGTAAAAAATCTTTCTTTAATTTCTTTATTTTTGGCATCAGTAATTAGTGTGTAAATTTTAATAATAGTCACTTGTTTTCCTTGTAGAAATATAGATATTATCCTATTCTGACAATATCGTACTGAAGGTCACAAAGCAAGTCTCAACAAATTAAAAAACAAACAAACATCTAAATCCTAAAAACCATCTTCTCAGATCACAATGTTATAAAGTTAGAAATCAACAATAGGAAGATCAAGGAAACAAAATCAAATCCATGGAACCGGAATAACACCTACTGAAGAGCTGCTGAGCAATAGAACAAATAAAAAATGCCTTGAAGCAAATTAGAATGAAGAAACAACATACCAAAACCTTTGGGACACAGCTAAAGTAGTGCTTAGAGGGCAATTTATAGCAATAAATTTGAAAGTCTTGAGTTGTACTTTTTGATGATGAATGCAACACATTCCTCTTTAATTTGTCCTATTGGTATCTCAGATAATATGAATGCCTGCTTCAAAATACCAATCAGTTTCAGTTAGCTGTTACCTGTGTATCAATTTTTATGTGTTGCATTAAATTTTTTATGACTTGTACTTTCCCTAGATTCATACTTCAGGTATCTCATGTTTTGATTATGAATGGATATTTGCAGCAGTTTCTTCTCATTTTGAGGGATACATATCAGCAAATGAAGGTTCTGAAGCTTTACTCCATTTATGTCAATATGGCTTACTCTGCTTTGAGGAGGCAGTTCTAGCCCAGCCGTATTTTAAGTGCCTTCTAACTTGAGGAGCTCACCTTCTGACCCTCTATCAGACATTGTTTTGCAGCTATTCATAGGGTTTTTTGTGGTTAATTCTCAGAAGTTGGCCACCTAGTTCTTCTTCCTGGTCTGTCTTAGTCCAGAAGCTACACTGAAACCTGCCCACCATGGGACACTGCTGGTATTTGAAATACAAATAGCATAGCTTCTAGCATCAGATCACCATGAATGTCACCACAGTATGACAGAGTGACAGGTGTGTGGTTGATATAGGGAATGTTGTTGTTAAGTGCCGTCACATCGGTTTCAACCCATAGCGACCCTGTATGCAGTTTCTGAGGAGAGGCTGGTGAGCTTGAACCGCCAACCTTGTGGCTCAAACCGACTTTGCAGTTCAGTGCATTAACCCACAATACCCCACCAGGCCTCCTATGTGGGGAATGTTGTTGTTGTTAAGTGCCATCCAGTCGATTCCGACCCATAGTACCTGGTAATTTAGCAGCATAGAAGAGTAAAGTGATGAATGGTTTGAAATTTCAACAAATAATCTCAGCTCAGCTATTCAGATCCTGTGTTTCAGTTTTCAGTCTTTAATTGAAAGAGTCTCATTACTGCTTTAACAACAGAGATGTTATAAACAAATGTATTACCCCCACTCCACCCTAGGGTGCTAGCATATTTATTTGTGATGTGATCATAATACGTGACTTTAATATTTCATTATAGTGAAGTCTTGGTGTAGCACCGTAGGGTAAGCACTAGACCACAAGATCAGTTTGAACTGCAAGGTCAGCGGTTCAAATCTACCAGCTCTTCCTCAGAAGCCCTATCCAGGGTCGCTGTGATTTAGAAACGACTTGACTGCACTAATTAACACCAACAATCTTACCGATGAGTGGGATGGAGGATAGCTCATAAAGAATATTGAAATCGGTAATGATACGTGTAGTTTGGTCTCTCGGTAATTAATTCTTTAGCAGTTGCAACATGATACATAAGAAAATCTGTATTTTTATGGTTGGAGACCCAGGGGAAAAAAGTATTATTAGCAAAATCTACTTAAGAACATGTAATTGTTTTGAGACTTTAAATAACTAAAAATTAAATTAGAAGCATTAAAAAGACACCTAGAAATCTTTAGTGTCTCAACATCACATGTTTTCCAAAGGTAAGTAGACATTTGAAATATGTAGCTTAGCTTATTTAAATAAAGGAATATCTTTATGTGGCTATAGAAAAACAGTGTAGTGTTCACAATTTGATGATTAAACAACACTGTAAACTTGGGATATTTTATCGCTTCAATCTACTTTTTTGCTTTCATAGAGAGATTATTTGGCAAATCTGTAAATATTTGCTTATGTATAGAGAATCTGCTTTGATATTATATAGTAACAGGAGTCCTGGTGTGGTATCCTGGTGTTGCACTGTGGGTTAATGCACCAGACTTCAAAGCCATTTAAACTACAAGGGTGGAGGTTCAAGCTCAGTAATCCTATACAGCCGCTCCTCAGTAATCCTATACAGGGTCGCTATTAGTTGGAACCGATGGCACTTGATAACAACAATAATGGAAAACAAAATCTGATATATAAAAGTATGAGTGTGACTCACCATTGTAAGTAAAGGCATGAATTTGGATATCATATGAGCTATGCTAACATTTGAAGGCCTAGTGGGGCACTTAGAGTCTAGTCTATAATCACTGGACTGCTGACCTCAAGATCAAAGATTCAAAACCACCAACCATTCCTTGGAAACTCTATACAGGATCTCTGTGAGTCAGAATTGACTTGGTGGCAATGCTAACACTACAGCATAAATGCTACTCAGTTAAAGGAGTAGAGGGAACATTTCATTTGAGCTGAGTTTAATGGCATGTAATTGGGAGGTATAGTTAAACTTTGGACAATGGGTATATATGTTCATGCCTTGGCCTTGGAAGAAAGGTATTAAGCCTGCCTGGTTAACTTTAGGGGGATCATTAAAGAATGTAGAACAATGGTGACAATTTATGTGACAAGCTTTGTAAGTGAAAACACACTTTTCATTGCATTTATGCTGGGACCATAACAAGAACAGACCATGACAGCATCAGGCATGCTCAGAGATACTGTGTTGATGAACAGCTCTGTGAAGTTAAAAGATGGGGAATAGCCACATTTCATACAGTCAAATCCATTAGTACTTCCACAGATTGTGTTGTTGTTGTTGTTAGAAGTAGTTTTTGAAAAGATAAAAAATAAGCAAAAGATAGTGGCCCAAGCCCTTATTGAAAATTACAGTATAATAATGACTCAAAGATGAGTTTCTGTGGAGAAGAATGATTTTATAGGGTAGACTGAATAAGATCAGTGGAAATTCAGCTTGTTCAGCAAAGTGCCAACCATGCAAAATCAGGAAAGATATAGGACCCCTCTCTTGTGTTTGATAGAAGTCATGGTGAAGGAGTAGCCAACTCAGAGGGCAGGTGTCTTAGTATTGATTTGATATTTTGGGTTTATAAAGGTAAATGGGGAAAAGCAGTTGAGATAAGGGTCTTGCAAAGGGTAAGTTGAGCATTTTTAGTCCTTCAGAATCTCTCACAACTTATTTGATGTATTTGTCTTAAAAAGTAAGTCTGGCTACCAACTTGTTGGGGAGCAAGATGGCGCTGTAGGATCAGTACTGGACTTTGAACCTCACAGTCAGCAGTTCGAGCCTCCTAGCCTCTCCACAGGAGAAAGATGCGGCTTTCTGCACTCACAAAGATTGCAGCCTGAGAAACACTATACATGGCACCTGAGAGTGGAAATTGCACATGGCACTTACCACAACAATAGCCAACTTGATTCTTAAGGGTTACGTCTAATAAAAACTTTCTGACTCTGTTTCCAGATGAGACTTTAAATGTACTTTCTCTCTTTTAACAGTATATGATTTGTTTTCTTTTTTTTTTTCCACATGTAGGCCGGAGCTAACGTCCTTCTTCAAGATGTTAATGGAAACATCCCTTTAGATTATGCTGTAGAAGGTACAGAGTCCAGCTGCATCCTGTTGGCCTATCTGGATGAAAATGGTAGGCAGAAGATTTGGAAAACGATAGAAAAAGAGATTAAAAGATGCATTTGGCAATATATACATATAGCTTTAGTTTTATGTGTATTCCTACATCATTTAAGATTGATGGTCCTTTTCCAAAAATTACTTAAAATAAGTTATTTTTGTCTTCAATTTTTCATCACTCTCTGCATTTCATTGTTGGTTTATGTGATACTTTTCTGCAAGCCAGCAGAAATCTAGAGGGCACCAATGGAGGAACATTTTAACAAGCATTTAAAGTTCATAATTAGGGGGACTGGGTTTGTAATTATAATCTAGTCTCCACTGGGAGGGGAAAGGAAGTGAACCAGGACAATTGAATTTTGAGTTAATGAGAACAAGGTCATCTCAAGCTCATTCCCTTAGGAGCTGGTGGTTCTTCTAAGAATTATGTATGAGTTAAATTATGGTTCGGAGCCCTGGTAGCACAGGGTTTAAATGCTGAAATGCGAACTAAAAGGTCATCAGTCCAAGTCACCAGCAAGTCTGAGGGGAAAAGATTTGACGGTCTGTTTTTGAAAAGATTACAGCCTTGGAATCCCTATGGAGTAGTCGTAGTAATCTGTCTTACAGGGTGACTTTGAGTAAGAATTCACTCCATAGTAACAGTTTTGGAAGTTACAGTTTGCAGTCAAGGACTTTTTGTGTTGCATTCCTGAATCCCACTCCTTAGAAACACAACTGTCAGAGAAAAATGCTATGGTCAGGCTGCTACAGATGAGACTGAGCCCCCAAATGCATTCACTGGCAAAAGAATGTTTAATTACACAGAACCCAGTGTATAATTTCATGTGTAAATTCAGTATTGGGAAAGTGGGAGGTATTTGACTCCCTGAACCAGATGAGGTAGAAAACTAAATAAATGTGCCCCACCTTCCACCCATCCCCATTTTTTTCTTTTCTGCTGTTTAGGTATACAGACATTCCATTCCCTTCAAGTATGACTCTTCATCAGAGAACGAAGTTCATTTTTAAGAGCAACACAGTACTGATGACTCTAACCTTCTTATTTCTAAGAAAAGCCCTTACATCTGCCTCATTGTTCCTTGTGCTCTTTGCCTCCTCCAGATCTTGTTTTCTTCCAAAAGGTTTATTCTAAGATTGGGTTGGAATAATAATAATTAGTACTTAACAGCTATGTTCTTTAAAAAAATACAATCTCATTAATTCTGAACACAAGGTAAGTATTGTTGTCTTTGTTGGGAGAATGAGGAACCTGTGGGGCTTCCTGTGTTGCTGATAGTCGTTTAGTTAGGTCTGCAGGGAGAGAAGTCGACATTGGACAGAGAGACTAGTTGACGTATTCCGTCTTCTATTCAGAATCTCCCTCATTCCCAGTTACCCACTCCTGCACAGAGATCGCTTGTTTTCATCAAGTCTTGCTAGCTGTGATTTGTTGGAGGCAGATCACATTTCTTAAAATGGAATGAAATTATGCATTTGTCACTGTTGGTATGTTTATTATGGGGAGCTTTGTACAACTTGACGTGAAACACAGAATTCTGAACTTTTAGGAGGAACTTGGCCATGTTTTCTTAAACTGCACAGATTCTATATGGCTATCTTTTCTGCTGTTCTTATTCTTCTAAGTTACTAAAAGCTACAATCACAAATATATATTTTGAATAAAATTAAGAAGGCACACAGGTGGCGCTGTAGGTAACTGCTAACCACAAGGTTAGCATTTCAAACCTACCAGCTTCTCTGAGGGAGAAGATGAGACTTTCTGTTGCAATGAAGATTCACAGCTTTGGAAACCTTATACAGGGTCTTTACGAGTTAGAAATGAATCAATGGTTCCTAACAATTATTACTGGATGGTGCAAATGGGCAGGTACTGTACTGCTCACCAAGAGGATGGCAGTTTAAGTGTACCCAAGAGTTTTTGAAGAAAAGTCAGGGGATTTACTTCAAGAACACCCCGTAGAGCAGTCTACTCTGACACACATGGGGTTAGCAGGAGTCAGATTTGACTTGACAGTAGTTGTTTTGCTATTATTATTAATTTTTTTTGCAAAGCAATTATTATTTTAAAACTGCCCCAACTCATTAAATAATCTTTCTTGCTATGAAATTTTCTTAATTTCAAAAGCAGTATATTCATTATAAATAGAAAAAAAAATAGTTGCATATTTTTGGGAGAATGATTTAAATTAAAAGACTAAGAAAAAAATAAAAGGAGTGTCTGGCTGAATGGTTAGGAAAAAAGCTGTCACAACTATGTCAGTCACAGCCAGTTTGTAAATTACATGTTTGCTGGAACAAACTCAATTTAATAGCTCTTACATTTTTAATTCTGTTTTACATTTTCACTTCTGTTGGACAAGCCTTTGTTTACCTCTCCATCTGCTCCTTTCTGCATTGCGTTCCCTATCTAGTTCTGTTTACATCAGCCCGCTGCTACTCAACTGGATTATCTGCCTTCGTTCTTAGTGAATGGTATCCAATACTGTCTATTCTCCGACCCACTTCGTGGTACTCTTTTCGAGTTATCAGCTGTAACATGATGTACTGAGTGACATTAGAAATTTTGAATATTCCAAGATGAGATTTTTGTTATTTGGCTGTTGATGTTTCAGGAGGATGTTTTATAACTAGGAGATCAGTGTCCTTAAATTTTCACTGGGAATCTTACCATTTCAAATCAGAATACTTATCACTTTGTCACATCAGGATGCATGTGGCAGGAGGCAGGCAAGGTCGTGAACAAGATGATTACATGGAAAAGCATTGGTCACAAATTCTAATTGTACTGTCACCACCAACTTAAAGTGTAAACTTGAGCACAGCAATTAACCTCGGCTCACTGCCTGAGCTTCTCAGTCCGTAAAAGGAGACAACCGTGAAGGGCTGATTGAGCATTTGATGAATATTAGATCTCCCGTGCGAGGTAAACCAGCTGGCATTCAAGGAAAGCAATTGATTATAAAATGAAGCAGCAAAAACAGAAAGCAGTGCTGTGAAAACTCCAAGTGGCCTAGGACCAATACTTAAAATGAGAGAAAGAAATACTCAAGACCCTAAAAGAAAACAAAATAGAAATAAATTCAAAGAAACAAAAATAAAACCATGACTCTACAAGTCCTTGTGTGGTGCTGTGGGTTAATGTGCCAGACTGGAAAGCCGTTTGAACGGCAAGATCAGTGGTTCAAGCTTACCAGCTGCTCCTCGGAAACCCTATACAGGGTCACTATGAGTCGGAATCGACTCAACGGCACTTAACAACAACAACAACAACAATGTCCTTTCTTGCTTTTAGATAAAGTTGTACTTGTTACCTGCTGACAGGTGGTCCCCCAACTCAAGGTGACCGCATGAACAATGGAGCTAAACTCTGGTCCTCTTTTGTCCACATGATGGGATGCAGATCTGAGCGTTATGATCCATAGGGTCTTTGTTGGCTGGTTTTCTGAAGTAGATCAGTCAGCTTGTTTCTTTTGGAAAAATTGTTAGGTGCTAAAAAGTTAGTCCCGACTTGTAGCAATCCTGTGAACAACAGAACTAAACGCTGCAAGTCCTTTGCTCTCCTTATATAAATGCTTCTAAAATTCTTCATCTCTTTTTGCTTGACCCACCAAAGTGCATCTTTGACCCTATTGTTGTTGTTATTGAGTACCATTGAGTCGGTTCTGACCCATAGAAACCCTGTATAGGGTTTCCAGGGAGCAGCTGGTGAGCTTGAACCACTGACTTTCCAGTTTAAACAGCTTTGCAGTCTGGCGCAGTAACCCCACAGCACCACACCAGAATCGGCTGTTAACCTGAAGGTCGGCAATTTGAAACTACCCGTGGTTCCACTGGAGAAAGACGAGGCTTTCTGCTCCCGTAAAGATTAACAGCCTCGGAAACCCTGTGCATGGTCACTATGAGTCGGAACCGACTCCACGGTACTTAACTACAACAAATGCTACCAGGGTTCCTTTAATACTCTGGACTAAGTGTATTGCCCCTATTGTTGTTGTGTGCCCTGGAGTTGGTTCTGACTCATAGCGACCCTGTACAGAGTTTCCAAGGCTGTAAATCTTTACGGGAGCAGAAAGCCTCATCTTTCTCCCACGGAACAGCTGGTAGTTTCGAACTGCTGACCTTGCGGTTCGCAGCCCGATTCATAACCACTATGCTACCAGAGCTCCTTATTGCCCCTATAGATCCTCTGAAAAACGTCTGCAGTTACATTCCTTAGCTTTTAGTCAATTGATCACTTTCTTCATTTCTGTGACATTGGGTTACCTGAATCACACTTCCTTATTGAAAACTCTCTTGATAGGATCTTTTGATAGCTTTCTTCTCCTTTGAGACTTCTACTTACTTGTTTGAAATGTTCTACTTTTATTCCTAACACCCTTGTTGTTGTAAAGTGCCGTTGAGTTGGTTCCTACCCATAGCGATCCTGTATAGGGTTTCCGAGGATCGGATGCTGATCTTGAATGCCAACCTTGCGGTTCAAACCTTGCGGTTCAGTCCAACACATTAAGCCGCAGTGCAACACAAGGACTCCTAAAGCTCTAAATGTTGGTAATTCACAAAGATTTGTCTCTGATTATCTTTGTTTACACACCATTCCTGGGTTATTTTACCCTCTTCTTTACATTCAGTTAGCGCTTACCATTTCCCAAGGATATACCTGTAACTTAGGTTTCTTTCAGGGCCTTGTTCTCTATGTTAGTTGTATTAATGAGTCAATGACAGTGAACAGCTCAGTGGAACATATTATTATCCTACTATGCTCAATTGATATTCTATGTACTCTACCATCACTTTTAGGAATCCAGGTGTCTGCAAATCACTTTTTTTCTTTCTCCTAAAACCCTCACATCTAATTGTCACCAACTCGTGCAGAGTCTTCTTCCTTGGCATGTCTCTAGCATTCACCCCTTTCTCACCAAGCATGGTTCAAACTCTGGTCTTTTTTTGTTTTTGTTTTTTTAGTTTTTTAGTTGAAACTCTGGTCTTCTTTTGTTTTTCTTTTTGTTTGGA